GCTAAATATTGAGCTCAGATTTTAACCATTCAATAGAGAAATACTTAAGAAGTCACTCTACTCATTTTTCAGGGTGACATTTCTCGACACGAATTCATATTCTCTACTTCACTCATTCTTAAGTTTCCAACTCATCGAGATATTAAACCAATCAAATTGATCTCACCTATTTATGAATCAAAGAATCATTAAAATCATGAAAAGATATACAAAACCCTACCAAGGGATTTAGATGAAATACACAACGGTCAAGTAAAATTTAATTCTCTATATGGTCATGCTATAGAATTAAACTTGACACATGGTCCACTCAATACACTGTAAGTGTACTAGTGCCACCTTTGACTATTTCTGTGATAAGAACAAATTACAAACCTCAATAGTGAATCGGTCAACACTACAACCTTCCAGTACAAGGTATCAACTCTTATACACTAGTTGTGAACAAATAATTTATGATCAAAATATAATTTGTGTCACACTTTACTTCTCAACGCAAGTACCCAACTTATAGTATGACAAGTGTTCATAGACACTTTAATTCACATGCTTAATAATAAATAAATGCAATAAATAAATAAAATCACAATTTATTTATTATAAATTATTATTTTATCATAACAAAATATACTATATGGGCAAATAACCCAATAGCGAGGTGTCTCTCTCCCCCACCCCCCCTCTCTCTCAAGCAATACTTGGTCACCGCTCAATGTTGAATGTCTAGTTTCCTGTATACCTCCAATGAAGAAAACCCATTTTCCTTTGAACAGAAAATTATATTATGTTACTTCTGGAAATCAAACATTGACTCTGTTGCAAGTAATCCGTTGGTTTTGTTTCTTTTTAGATAAATTGATCTCACTATTAAACCCCGTTTGATAAACATTATTTTAAAAAAATAGAGTTTTGAATAGTGATTTTTAGGAGAATTCATAGTCAAAAACTATTGAAAAGTTTAGGGTATATGTGTAAAATATTTTATTGTGTAAACAATGGCGGCCCTAACTATAGGAGAGATAGTCGATCGCCTAAGGTCACACTTTGATTAGGTCCCAAATTATGTAAGGTTAATTGGTTGACGAAAAACAAAAATTATACTTCTGAAATTCTTTAAAATAGAATTATTAATATGCAAGTACAAGAAACTAATAAAATTGAAAATACAAAAATCTTCAGAAAAACATATAAATGGCATAAAGCTTATCACTTACATTTATTTATCATATAAATATATCACAAACATTACCCTCTCTAAGTAATTTGACCATTTATCTCCCAAACATCCATTTTCTTTTCTTAACAAAACACAAAAATATCTCTTTGTCTCTTCAAATTCCACGTCCAACAATAATCCATCATAATTTTTTTAACCAAACAAAAAATGAATTATCTCAGGTGGAATTAAAATTTTGAAATTTCAATTTAACAGAATGGTCTGGTATCAGTATGTAGCCTTACAAGTTTTTCAATTTATCATTTATCTTCAAAACATATATTACAAAGTTTATAGGCTGTTATTATAATTGTTTTGCTTTAATCTCATGATAATAACCTTTTAAATGCTTGTTAAAGATACTTTGAATTTAATAATTCTTTGTCCGTATTCATGCTTCTTAGTTTTAAATTAATTTAGTATGAATTAATATAAAATTAGGAGCTCATTTGTATTCGATTGTCATTTTCATTATTTTGTTATATAATATCTCGCTGTCAACATTGTTTGATTTCGTACATAAATCACTCAAATGCACATTCAATTTTGTTTTAAATAATTGCAGTGAGAAAATGATCAAAAAAAGAAATAGACCCATTTGCCATTGCATTATAATTTAGTATACCAAACTTCACTTATAATTTGTATTGCATGTTAACTTTTGACATTTCATTATTTTCCTCTTCAAATTTCGAAATTTAGTTACCCGTATTTGATTCTTCATGTTTGTTGACGTCAAAATTAGCAAGGATAATTTTGAACCAACTTTAATAAAAAATGCGATTTATTCTTGAAAAAGACTACAAAAAATGTCATTAAAGTGTGATTGTGCCATGAGTCGTTATATGAATTCACTTGTCTTTTACAAGAGTTCTATTCAACTATTTATATATAGTTTCAGTCGAAATCACATCAAATCAGTAACAGTACCGAGCTCGTAACTCGGTTAGCCAAATTCTCCTGTGATTGGTCGACGAGGTCTGTGGCTATGTGTCAATGTTTTTCCCAGGTAATTATGGCCTGTAAGGGGCATAAGGATTAGTACTTTAGGATTGGTGATTTCGGGCGGTGATAATGTCACCTGCGGCAAGTGTATTTGATTGATGGGGTGATGTGTCGGGATAATCATGACGTTTTACTGAGATAACGACGGGATTTTCCGACCTGGGAGAACAAACCGAACTCCCATTTGCTTGAGGTGGGTTTAACGAACTGTTTTAGCTTAGATCGGAGTTCGGTTGTCAATAGTTACCCCCCAAGTCAGCTCTACCGTAGGGAGGGCTAACCTCAATGATGCTTTCTCCAAGAAGTACATTTATTGCTGTGACAAGTGTCATCTTTTGATGGAGATGAGCTGTACGCCATTTATAAGTAGCTTCTTCAACAAGCTTGGCTAAAACTACGTCGTTTTGTCTCTCAGGCTTTTGAGCCATTGATTTTTTCCCTCCATTTTTGGATGGACGGTTCAGATCACACCCTCTTAGCTTCTCTTTCTTTAAATTCCTTTTTGGCCAGTCATTTCTCCTTTTATTTCGCTGGTTTATTTTCTCAAATATTCGGGCAATCTTCTGAGTTCGCATTTCCATATTCGAGTAAGGTCGTTTTCCCAGTTCATTTCCCAGGTATTTTTCTGTTCTTATCTGCTTCCTCCTTTTAGTTTGTGCTTTGTTTCCTAGTTTATACATGAGTTCGGACGAGTAAAGAGTTCATTCCTGGGGTAATCAGCAGGAAGAGTTAGTCCCCTTCTCGACGAGTTCGTCTTCTAGTTGTAGGGAAGTTTTTACCCCTGTTCCTATTTCCATAATTAACCCGATCGACTTAGGGCGTTTTGTCACGGACTTTGGATGTGAGGGTTCCAAACGCCCTTATTATGTGGAACCAAATGGGGAATTTCGAGCTAAGTGTCCAACAGTTCGATTCTCTGTTTACTTTTAAGGAAGATGGGAAGAACTTGGGTTGGTGGTACACAAGCGTTAGGCCCAGGACAGGAGGTTCTCTGGTGTTAGACACCCCTTCCTCAATTAAGAAATGGAAGGAAGAGTGGTTCTATGTATCGGGGAAGTTTCATTCTGTCGAGGTGAAGAGGGAGGAAGTGTTTTTTTTTTTTTTTGGGCTTTAGTCTTTTAGCAAGGCGTATGTTGACAAAGTATTGACCTCGATATTTTTCCTTTGTGCAGATTATAAGAAGGAGACATTAACCAAAGATACACAGAGACGAGCTGAGATAATAAGATCATTACCTAAAAAGCAAAGGTCCTATAAGTTTGTGATCTCAGATTCGAACTTATACCGGGCCGGTTTGTTGCAAATACGAGCTTCAAGTTCATCTCCTTCCAGTTCAGGTAATATTTTGACCCTCATTCGCGATTGTGGCTTCTTTATGTATATAAATATTTATTAAGCGTTTCGCTGTTTTCTCATCTCATCAAGACGAGATGCGGGCTATAAGGCAACGGCTACGACCAAAGGAAAAAAGAGAGATGTCCCAGAACGGTTGGAGAGCGAGGTGGAGGAGGAGGTTCCACTGAAGAGGAACCGATCTGCACCCCCAGTAGCACTGAGGATTCCTAAGGCAATGCCTTTATCGAGCCCTACTCTGCTGTCTCCTTCTTTGCCTTCCCTAGCTGTACCCTCTGCTGTCGGGACCAGTTCTGTGAACTTACAGGATAGGTGCCCAGATTTACAGAGGCCGAGCTGGGAAAGTTTGGTGGGACACCGACCATAGATATTTTTAGATTATCTCCGAGCTCCTTCTCCTTCCAGGGGGATGACTGCCGCGCTCACTTCACCATTGAGGAAGTCTGCCAATCTACTTAACCGAAGCTGGGGTGAGAGAGAGCAGGGCTATTTGAATGAGATGCCCATTGGTGAGGCCTTGGTCACTGCTCAGCCCCATGGTCATATATATATTTTATACATGATGGCAGTGGCGAATAAGGTATACTTCTTACTTTATGGTTTTTATTTTTTTATTTTTTGAGCAATTGTTTTAATGACTTGCTTGATTTTTGATTTTTGAAAAATAGGTGAAGTCTGAGCTGGAGGGAGGCTGAAAAGTCCCAATTTGCTCTGAGGGAGAAGGAGTATGAAGAGAAGCTGAATTAGATGGGGATCAAGCTGAACTCCAGGATCGATGTCGAGGAAAGATTGATGGGGGAGATCAGGGTATTGAGGGCCTAGGAGGAAGAGGCCAGAGCTCGGGCTGAGGAGAAGCGCGACAAAGTCAGGGAGGCCATCCATAAGATACAAGAGGCCATCGAAAGGGCAAAGGAGGCCACCAAAAGGGCTGAAGAGGCTGAGGCCAAGGTTGACAGAGCAGTGGAGGCCTGGAAGAAGTCCTCCGAGTTTGACGTCGTAGCCCAAGATGTCTATGTGATAGCACTGGAGGAGCTAGTGGGGCACATCAGGAAGGAGAGGCCTAATATTGACGTGGCCTTTCTGAATGAGGCGCTGGAGGGGCAGAAGGAGGAACTGCGAAGGTTGTCTGAGACTGCTGGAGTCCTGGTATTACCGGCAGCCCAGGATGTTGAGGATAGTACACCAACCCCCCAAGACCCCTAGGTGGTTAAAAAAATATTATTTTTGGTATTTAGTTTTGCAATATGTTTTTGGCTTATGAGTGAACTTTGTTTTGACTTTTTATGACATTTTGTTTGGAATGGATAACTGTTTATGCTTAGTACGATTTCTTTAGTAGAGATCTGTTGTTTTTTTTTTTTTCTTTGTGTGACAATACCTCACAAACTTAGCTAAATTTGTAAGAGCGTCACAGTAGCATGTAGAATTACCTTGAATGAATTTTACCTAGTTGTGCAGTACCTGCTTTCCAAACCAGACTTATGCATTCGGCATTTTTACTAAGTGTAGTACCACGTACGGCCTTAGCTCGTCCTGCGTGTCTAGCAGGGCATTGAAAATTTCCACTAAGGGTTGCAGTACGTACGACCTGCATATGGAGCAGGGCTTTATAAGGTTCTTTATGAGGAAATTTTCACTAAGTGTCGCAGCACATAGGACCTTAGATCGGCTTGCGATGGAGCAAGGCTTTATAAGATTTCTTAGGAGGAATTTTTCACTAAGTGTCGCAGCACATACGACCTTAGATCGGCCAGCGTATGGAGGAGGGCTTTATAAGATTCCTTAGGAGGAATTTTCCACTAAGTGTCGCAGCACATACGACCTTAGATCGGCCTGCATATGGAGCAGGGCTTTATAATATTCCTTAGAAGGAATTTTTCACTAAATATCGTAGCACATACAACCTTAGATCGGCCTGCGTATATAGCGGGGCTTTGTAAGATTCTGACAGATTGCTGAATAAAATGTTCAAAAATAGGAAATCCCTTTTTATTGGTGTAATTGACATTACAAGGGGGCTTTATATGGGCTTTTCCCTTTCACTGATAGTATCGCTTAAGGTGTACGGCATTCCAAAGATGGGGTAAGGGTCTACTCCCCAAGTCTTCCAGTTCATATGCCCCTTTTAGCAGGACCTTCGTTATTAGATAGGGACCTTCCTGGTTCGGACCCAGGCATCTACTGCCGATCTCTCTTGTGGGGAGAAATACCTTCTGTAAGACGAGGAATCCTACTTCAAATTCTCTTTTTTGCACTTTTTTATCGTAGTACTTGGAGTTCCGCTGTTTGTAAACGGCATTCTTGAGTTCGGCGTTGTTCCTTTTCTCCTTGGTTAGGTCGAGTTTCGTGCGAAGAACTATGTGGTTCCTTTCTTCGTCGTAATCAGTTATGCGCAGCGAGGAAATGCTGACTTCTAGTGGGATCACGGCCTCTAAGCCGAAAGCTAGTGAGAATGGGATTTCTTTCGTGTTTGTCCTTGCAGTAGTGCGATAAGACCATAGCACACTGGGGAGTTCATCGGCCCATCTTCCTTTTAACAAGTCGAGTTTTGCTTTCAATGTGTGCTTAATAATCTTGTTAATGGCTTCGACTTGGCCATTTGCCTGTGGATGGTTCGGTGATGAGAAATATTTCTTGATGTCGAACTCTTCGCACAAATCTAAAAGTCGTGCGTTATCGAACTGTTTTCCATTGTCTGTAACAATGGAGTGGGGTATGCCGAACCTACAGATCACTGATTTTCACAAAAAGTTTGTTGTTTTTTGTTCGGTGATGGTGGCAAGTGGCTCTGCCTCGGCCCGTTTAGTGAAGTAATCCACTGCAACGATGGCGAATTTTACCCTTCCTTTTCCAATGGGCATATGTCCAATTAGGTCGACCCCCCATTTTGCAAAGGGCCAAGGTGCTGTTACTGGGTTCAGTTCGCGCGGTAGAGTATTTATGACGGGGGCGAGGCGCTAGCACTTGTTGCATCTTTTGACAAATTGAAGAGAATCACATCTTATTGCAGGCCAAAAGTATCCTTGTCGTATGATCTTGTAGGCTAGTGAGAGTCCACCGGAATGGTTTCCACATAGTCCTTCGTGAACGTCCTGTAGGGTGTGCTGAGCTTCTCCTTCGTTCAAGCACCTTAATAAGGGCATAGAATATCCTCGTTTGTATAGTATATTATCAATGAGTGTGTACCTGACCAACCTTATTCAGAGCTTTCTAACCTCTGTAGAGTTTTCAGGATATTTCTCGATTTTTAGGTAAGCGATGATCTCGCTCTGCCAAGTTGGTTTGGGGTCTATCATCATAAGGACCACTTTGGCCAACTCGGTGGACGGTAGGGATATTTTTCCTATCGAGATGCTATCAAACTCTTCAATTCCCTCACTGGTGGCTAGGCGGGCCAGTGCATCGGCGTGACTGTTCTGAGATCTAGGAATTTGTTTGACTTGGGTGGTGTTGAACCTTTCAAGTTCTTTTTTCACAACTCGTAGGTAATTGTCCATCCTGTTTTCTTTCGCCATATATACATCATTGACTTGATTCACGACTAGTTGGGAGTTGCTGTGTAGGATCAGGTTGGAGATCCCTAACTCTGAGGCCACTCTTGCTCCGACAATGAGAGTTTCGTACTCAGTCTCATTATTGGAGGCTTTAAAGTCAAATGGCAAGGCTTCACAGAATATGCGATGATCAGGGCTGATTAATACGACATCGACTCCAGATCGTTCTCCGGTGGATGAACCGTTGACATAAAGTTTCCAAGGGGTTTCTTTCTGTTGTTCCTCAATTGGGACGTTGCAGAACTCAGAGACAAAGTCAGCGAGTGCTTGGCCCTTTATGGAGGAACGAGGTGTGTATTTGATGTCGAATTGTTCGAGTTCTACTGCCCATTTACAATCGGACCAGAGGTGTCGGGCCTTTGCAGTGTTTGCCTCAATGGAGAGTTGGTAAGGACCTCAATGGGGTGTTCCAAGAAATATGGCCTCAGTTTTCGCGCTGCCATCAGCAGGGTGAATGCCAGTTTCTCTACAGGCGAATATCTGAGCTCGGCTTCGTGAAGCGCTTTGCTTACGTAATAAATCGGGTGTTGAACGCCATTTTCTTCTAGGGTTAGAACGGTACTAATGGCATGCTCTAAAACAGATAAATATAGTTTCAAGGCCTCGCCTGCTTTAGGTTTTGAAAGCAACGGAGGCCGGACTAGTTGTCTCGTTAGCTCGTTAAAGGCGTCCTGGCATTCTTTGGTCCATTCAAACTTCTTTCCTCCTCATAACGTGCCGAAAAAGGGTTTGCAGCGGTCTGTAAACTTGGAGACGAACCGACTGAGAGCGGCAACCCTTTCAATTAAATTTTGTACCTCTTTGGATTTGGTTGGAGGCTTCATTTGGATGATAGCTTGTATTTTTTCAAGATTTACCTCGATTCCTCGGTTGTTTACAATGTAACCTAGGAATCTTCCAGAATTGACCCCGAAAGCACATTTTCTCAGGTACAACTTCATTCTATACTTTCTCTTTTTTATTTTTAATCGTACATTTTTCAATAAAATAATATTATACATATATCAAAAAAAATTTCTTTAACTCAAGCAAGGGCTAAAAGTTGATAATATATGTGATTGAACCTAGAAACATTCAGGGACGGATGTGGGGGGGACTGAGCTGGGCTGTAGCCCCCCCCCCCCGGCCCAAGAATTTTTTTTAATTTTTTTTTTTTTTTTTGCAAAAATAGTTTTTTGTGTAAAAAAAAAATTCGTGTATTAGCTCGACTTGAAATTTTATAGTTCGATCTTGGATCCAATCATGATCCGTTTTTGAAAACATATTGTTAAAATTAATCATTGATTTTGATTTAGATTAAGAAACGAACTGAAGATAAGGGTTCAGAGAAATTATTTGATACGACGGATGGAAATAAAATTTCCAAGAAATTGGATTTGCAGCTGTTTTGCGCGGCTAGTCGCTAACAATTAAAAAGGGATCAGATGATTGTGTAAGGAATAAACCTCTTGAGACAAAGTCCCATAAAGGAGTATTTAATTGGCGATAACTTTACAATTGGAACTTAAACAGAATGCCTTCAAGGGGCACAAGCATACGAGTACTGAAAGAAATGTTTAAGTCTAAACTAAGAAATTGAAATTACATATTCTCTGTTTGAGAGTGTTTGATTTGGGATCCTTTGCTCTATGTCTTTTCTTTCTTTTATATTCCCTTGATGATCTCTTCGTGATCAACCGCTTAGAAACTGCTTAATTGCTTTATAACTGCCCACTTTCTTCATGGTGGCCAACTTATCGTGGAACTGCCGTCTCTAACGGCTGCCACTACTTTTTGTCGTTCAACCGTCTTCAACTGAACATCCTTTAATCGTGGAACGTGATAAGATTACTTAATAACTGCTTTGATAACTGCACTTTTGGATAACCATAACATCTTATGTTTGCTAAGATCCTAGGCGATTCGAATGTTTGGACGAGAACAGGGTCATAATCCTGGGCGACTGCAAGGCACTTTATTCACTCAGATCTTGGGCATCTTGCAAGTTTGGGCAATGGTGTTACCGCATTTGTGGGCTTCCACTGCATTCATTAATAAACCTATTTGGGTCTTTATCCTGAATTGCCCAGTTGCGCTTCATTCTTTAGATTATTCGATTTGGACTGCACTTTTAGCGTGTCAACAGCAGCCAATTCAAATGTAAGGCAAGATTGAATTTTTCAATTGATGTTGTGGATGATGACACCAAAAAGATGTATACATTAGCACCAAGTCAAAAACAGAAAGATGACCTTTTGGGTTTTATGAAGACTGGAAGATCACAGCTAATGACAAGAAACTACAAGGAAATGCAGATATTGGTTTTTTTTTTTTTTTCTATAACTGATGGAAAACAATTTTTCATTGCTGAAAACGATAATAATGAGTAATGCTTGGAGTTTAGTTTGAGTGCTCATTGATTGATTGTATTTTGACTGTTATTTCATTTGAAATAATGTCAAGATCCTTTCATATTTTGAGGTTACAACAATATTATCTATTCACTAATACAAGATAAGAAAGTTTTATACATACTGTTAAGAATTTTTTTTTTTTATATTTTCCATTAATACATATTTTGTACATTGAATTGTCAGTACTGAGTTAAAGACGAAAACCTGTATAACATTTTATTGCAGAACGAAGCAAATACTCAATGTTTTGCCTTTCATTTTCCAAATGGAACACACACAAAAATAATAATAATAATAATAAATAATAAATAAATAATCATTTCGTGTGCCAAAAATTGCATTAATAAAACTAGATTAAATTATTGATTAAAATTTTTGGAATAAATTCTAATCAACCAATTACACTATCATACATTAGATCTAAAACTTTAATGGCAAGATGCAACCGGCCACACAATTTATTAATGAATTCTAGACATGTACATTAAACAATGAGCAATTATTCACTAATGGCAGAAAAGTTTAGACTTTTCTTATGTACATGAATAGCATTTTCCAGTATTAAATATCACCTCGACTACATCATCTGGCTCTCTCAGTCTTAGTACCTACTTTACTTACAAGTGCAATTAATTTATGTAATAAAGATACATAATTGAGAATATTACTAACCATTTGCAATTGTTTTATATTTATGATTGCTAATATTTTCTATTTTTTAATCCTTTCAATAAGTGTTTGTGTCTATAAATTGCATGTCCAATACCATCAAAAGCCTCTTCCTTCTTCTCCTTTCTTCATTGCATAATTCTGTGCTAATTTTCTTTTTCCTCCTTATTTCATAAATTCAGTGAAAATATATTATTATGAACTTTAATGTTGAAGTGTTTTTTAGTGTTTGAGCTCCATGTCGCCTGTACTTAGTGAAATCCTCCTTTCTGGATTTACTGTAAACTCGGCCCTTCGTCGTCGTTCACACTTGGTTCAATCTTTTTCTGTTGCCTTCCTCTACTGGTTTTATGTTTTCTCATGAAACGTATGGATGCTTAATTAGCTTATAATTTATACTAATTATAATTAAATACCAATCCACTTTTTTTTGCCCCGTATTTTCTTGCTAAATAGTAAATACCCATAAAAAGTATTATTATTTGAGTACATATCATGGCTTCTCCATGTGGAACTTGTTCAGGATCAAGCACGATTCAGAACTCTTCTGAAGACAATTTGCAGCATATAATGGACCAAAGGAAACGCAAAAGAATGATTTCGAATCGCGAATCAGCACGTAGATCACGCATGAGGAAGCAGAAGCAAATGGATGATCTGATGGAGAAAATGAGTCAACTAAGGACTGAAAACTACAATTTGCTTACCAACATGAATGTTGTTACTCAGCTATACCTGAATATTGAGGCTGAAAACTCAGTTTTAAGGGCTCAGATGGGTGAACTGAACCACAGATTACAGGCTCTCAATGATATAATCAACTTCACGAACTGCACAGAAAACACTTTTGCTGAATTTGATGAAAATGACAATATTTATGCCTATAATGAGCATATGATTAACGAGGAAGATTTCTTGAATCCATGGAGTTTGCTTCATGTTAATCAGCCAATCATGGCCTCTTCTGATATCTTCATGTACTGATCTGATATTCATGATTTGAATGATGAATTTTATTCTCATCACGCTTGTTTATATGCAAATTTTCTTGGATTTTCGATATGTTTTATTACCAAATGAAGGTTCTGTCTGTATTTCTAATACGATTTGTCATGCGGGGTGAACAACTAATGTATCTTTCATTTACAAAAATAGAAATCAGAAGTCTGGGACCTGTTCTTGAATTGTAAATTGTTTAAGAATTTAAGATCCTACTTAATAAATCCTCTCCAAGATGATCATCTATTTTTTGATTTCTTAAATACGTCCAGTTCAACATACCAAACGTGCCGCCAATGGTCTATAGTATTTCTACCTTCTAAAAGTCCATTCAACGGGTTGAGAAGCAATGTAACAAGTTTATATCATTTAAATGTTTCATTTGAATTAATTGAAAAAGGATCCTACAAGTCCTAACAACAATATTGATATGCACGTTTGCCCTTCAATTTCGACTTTTGAGATCTCGGTCTCGTTTAAGATCTCTCATCTTTCTCATGCACTCTTGACTCTTTCCTTCGGCCAGGATAAGAATATTACGAAAGATGACGACTAATTTAATCTTTATATAGAAAGTATTCTAAAAGAAACACATTGCTAGAGGCATATTGGACTTGAGAAAAGGCACATTGTTATGCAAAAGTGAAAGCTTCAATGCTATAAAACAAGTACACATATCACTAGAGGAATATGCTGCAGTTTTGATACTTGTATTACTTAGTGGCAAAACCATTAACAATCCATTGTGTTATATTTATATAGGGCTGGACATGGTCCGGTTCAGTTCGGTTCTAACGAAAATTGAATCAACTCGAAATTTTCGAGTATTTAGTAAGTGGAACCGTCGGATCCAAATTTAATTACGGAACCATTCAGGTTCGGTTTCATTCGGTTCGGTTCGATCCGGTTCGATTCCATTCGGTTCCGTATTATAATTAAATTTTTTAATATATACAAAGTTACGTTAATTTAATTAATGATATGTTCAATATTAACTCTTACAAAATATCGTAGTTCAATCTTATGTATTTCACGTATCTCTTTGTTGAATTCTTCATAAATTTGATTATTAAAATCACAGAAAGACAAAGATAGCGAGTTCAAAATAATTAAGAGAGATGTTGTAGAGTTTTAATTCAATTTTCTCCAGTAAAAACGACACTACAGTAGAATAACAGATTTGCATAAAATTGAGGTCAATTTGATTAAGTTGATTTTGAACTGAAAATTAGAAATAGGAAAAATCATATTTTGTGATTTGAACTAAATTAACTAGTTAACAAATTTATTTAGAAAAATAAAATAATTTTACTTATTTAAAATAAAAAATTATGGAGATTCGATTCTTATTCGGTTCTTCGGGTTTTGGTTTAGAACCAAGAACCGAACTATACCCGTCGATTCTTGATTCAAATACTCGTTCGGGTATTTAATTTGAGAAGAACCGTCGGATTTGATTCGATCGGTTCGATTCGAGGGTTTTGTCCAACCCTATATTTATATAAAATATCATTGGACAAATTAAGAAGACAAAAGGAGGGCCATGATATTTGCTGATTAGGTTACACAAAAGTAAAATTTAAGTGTTCGAACTGAATGGGCAACTAAATTAATAAAATATATATTTAGGGTGGGTTTTGAATGGATTTTATTTATTTAGTCCCCAATGAAGGGGTGACTTTTGGACGTGCTGAAAAATACTTTAATCATGACTTCATCAAAGGTTGAATTATTGGCATGGATGAATTAAACAATCTTAGGAAATTATTGTGTTGGCCTTGTTTTTTTGCTTTCATGACATAATAATATAAGTACTTTGACGGTAATATGCGTGTCCCATGTTGCCCACTTATCTCACTCTACATACGTGACTAGTTTAGTGACAATATTTTATTCAATCATAGCACATTATGTATAATTGAAGAGGTTTAATTAAATAAAATTAGAACAAATTGATATGTAGTGAAAAAATTAGTAGTTGTACTTCAATCATATATAATTTAATTATGTAAAAAACACAAAGATGAACTATCAGCCAAAAATTCTCTCAGTATCTTTATTTTAAGTAGTATTTTTAGGAGAATGTGCGAACAAAAAGTATAGAAAAGCTTTTGGTATATGTGTAAAATATTTTATTGTATGAATGTATGGTTGAAAATAATCATGTAACAAACCATAAAATAAATTAATGGGTATGGGGCACTATAGCTGATTAGTTTAGTTTTATTAATATCATCTAGCTTATGAGAGAATATATCTTCTAGTAAATTAGTTCTATTAATTTAAGGATTTCAATTATTGTTCCTAATCAATGTCTTAAATTATTTATCTAAGAAATAAAGATTAATTCGTGAGTCTCCGTGGTTACAAATTATCAATATAGTACCCGAAAAGTATGGGAGTATCCCAGATTCTAATAATCATCCATACTTAATTAAACGTTTAACAGAATAAATAATCGGCTTGAAATAGAGGAATTTCAACACTTTTTCATTAAAAGTTAATACCATGTGTAACTCCACTCGAATGATTTAAAAATTTAAGTTTTCCTGATTATTAAACAAGATATTCTCAAAAATCAATGGGCCGTGTTGTCTACTGACGTGAACACGTACACGAAACATATATTTTTTAAATTTTTCCAAGAGACAAAGGCTGTCCCATTATAGTCATAAAGGTGTTGAATCACTAAAATAAATTTGTATTCTCATGATAATTTAATCATATAAATACAAATTAATGAACTTTCACCGTTCTCAACCATTCAACCTTATATATGGACAGAAATAGAATGAATGAAACATTGAGATGAAGGGTCTATTTGATGTAGATTTTTCATAAATAAATTTTGTAAAAAATAGTATTTTTGGAGAATGTGTAAGTAGAGAAAAATTTTAGATTATGTTAATTGTCTTAGCATAATAATAATAATAATAATAATAATAATAATAATAATAATAATAATAATAATAATAATAATAATAATACGATTTATAGACTGTCGCCAATTATTTTAATGTTGAAGGAAAGGTGATGAGAACGTGTTGTCCTCATTGAACACACTATTATCTATGCTAGATTAGAGAATCCATTATATCTTGTTAAGCACATGATTTATGTAGCTCATTTACTAAGGTTCTTATATAAGGAAAATGATATATGTACCGATGGGGGTTATCAAACCGTGTCCTCCCTCTTACAAAATACGCGGGCCACGCATGTATTTAAAAAATCCAACCCATGGTTCCCACCCTTATTGTAAGTGGTAAATAAAAGATTAGATAAAATTTTTAGGTACATGTAGTATCGTTCTTTATATATAATAGTCTGTCAGTTTGTTTAGTTAATTAGCAGTGTTTGCATGGCATGGTAAGTATAGTCGATACGACAATTATAAAAGAAATTATTGTTTCATTATTATACCACAAAATCTATTTTTATTTAGGGATGTGCATTTTTATTCTAAATTACCTGAACAAAATCAAAATCAAAACCAAAACTAAAACCAGACCAATCTAGTTAAAATTTGTCTGGTTCTGAAAATAGAGAATTGAACATGGTACTGATCAATTCTAGCTATAAATTCAAAGGTTAAATCCATTCAAAAATTATGTCACTATTAAATCAATTGTCAATTTTAATACAACGGCACGAATTTATATTAGGGACATTTTTTTCCCGTAAAAATTTAACAAAATTGATTATTTCTATGATATTTATAGAAAGTAACAATTTCTTGAACGAACGTTGTGCAATGACTATTTACTACAATTTCCCTAAATTATAAAACTTAATCTTAATCGTCACGTCTTATTAGAAATAATGTCAAAAGAAAAAAAATCAGGAAAACAACAAAAAATTCTATGCAAGAGAAGCTGAGGCACGTAAGTCTATGTTTGATGGTCATTAATGAGAAAAATGACTTTTTTTGAATAGTGATTTTTTGTAGAACGTGTTATTAAAAAGTAAGAGAAAATTTTGAATTTACGTTTAAAATATTTTATTGTATAAATATATGGTTAAAGATGCGTACGAGAATTAAAGAATTTTATTTTAATAAGAAAAAAACAACGGCTAAATTTCCTTCTACGATCACCACAGGATTGATTGCAGTTAGCATCAAACACCTGCACATGTTGACTGAACACCTGTAAAGCCAAATGTCTTGTTAAGATAGAGATCAAGAAAATCATGCCAGGTGACTAACCTTGAGTCGATCTAATCCAAAAATATCTTCTCCAAGGACGCCAACCTCTTACCCATCCCATCCCCTGCAAAATATCTTTTGATATTTTTATTGTAGTTGACTTTATTTCGAATTTGTGTTGATAAATTTTTTGAAGAAACTCAAGAAAAGTTCGGATCCTGTACTAATAAATCTATGAGTTCATATTAAGGAAGATGATTGTAAAAAAAAAAAAAAAAAAAAAAAAAAAAAAAAAGGACGTCCCGACATAATTCACGCGGGATTGCACTGTTTTTCCTAGCCTTGAACGCACCAAAAAATTACATTAAGCTAGACAGCTGAAAAATTCCAAGGAGGCACGAAAATCCTACAGCAAAGCTTGAAGAAACAAAACTGATACTTGAAGGGTATGATCGATAGAAGTTGCATCTTGGTGTGAATTAATTAATACCAAATAGAGATCATTAGTAATTGGGCAGTTCGTGAGATCGGCTAGAACAAATCCCATTGAACCACCAGTTATAATTAATTCTTGTTTAGTTTTGCTAAAAATATATATATATATACATTTTATTATTTCTAGTATGGAATGAGTTGATTATTCATTTTGGGATCTCACCGAGCAAAACAAGTAATATAGTTCTTCCATCAATCAAGAATTTCAATTTTCGGAAGTATCATAATCATTCAATGAGAAGGATTTTCATTTAATAGATTTTGATAAAATCTCATAAACTATTTGGATGAAAAGTTGATAAATTTGTTGATCTCATCAAACGTGCGATTAAATTAATTCTTAACTTTAACTTTTATTTTTATCAATTTTTGAACTAAACTAAGTAGGGACTTAATTAATCGATAATTTCATCGGCTTTAAACTTTTGTCTCGTTCCAATTTCATAAAAGGCCTTGTTTGTGTAGTTAAAATTTAGAGTCTTAGTCAATTTTGTAAAAATTAATAAATACATGATTGAAAATTTGTTAAAAATTATTCATATGATGAAATGAATGATAAAATTAGTGTTAATTATACTTTAGATTTTTTAAAAATTCTTGTTCAGATTGCAAAAAAAGAACTTCGAAATTGTCATCTTCTTTGGCGGAGTAATTTTGGGATCTTACTGAGCAAAAGGAGTGACAATTTTCGAAAGTATCATATAATCATTCAATAAGAAGGATTTTCATTTAATAGATTTTGATAAAATCTCATAAACTGTTTGAATGAAAAGTTGATAAATTTGTGGATCTTATCAAACGTGTGATTAAAATTAATTCTTAACTTTAACTTTTATTTTTATCAATTTTTGAACTAAACTAAATAGGGACTTAATTAATCGATAATTTTATCGGCTTTAAACTTTAGTCTCGTTCCAATTTCATAAAAGGCCTTGTTTGTGTAGTTAAAATTTAGAGCCTTAGTCAATTTTGGAAAAATTAATAAATACATGATTGAAAATTTGTTAAAAATTATTCATATGATGAAATGGATGATAAAATTAGTGTTAATTATACTTTAGATTTTTTAGAAATTCTTGTTCAGATTGCGAAAAAAGAACTTCGAAATTGTTATCTTCTTTGGCGGAGTAATACGCGGAAATATGTCACCTTCTTGGGTAGCATTTTAGATTAGCCTTATCCGAATAGCCGACAGAGACACACGTCGTTATGCTATTTTGCCACGCTGAAATTGCACGAACCCTAACGTGTCAGCTGCTTTAATTCATGCAACACTTGTAAGCCTCTCCTGCCATTTGCTTTTCAAATCCTGTACGTTACTAGGACCCTTTTTCTCCTATATAAACATCGTGTGCGAATTAATCTCCGTCACATTGCAGTGCGGGACAATATAAGAAGCTGAACAAACTACTTGTTTATTTAAGTTTTAATTTTGATACACACTTGAAATCTGAAGAAATGGCAGAGTACGGAGACCAATACGGGAACCCAACGCGACAGACTGATGAATATGGCAACCCTGTTGGCCACACTGGGGGTCCTAAATCGGGCCAACAAGGAACTGGTTATGGAACCACTGGAGTTTATGGAACTCATGGTGGTGGAATTGCCCCGGGCAAAGTTGATGCTGGCCGAGCTGGGGAGCAACATGGACAGGGCCAGCTCCGCCGATCTGGCAGCTCCAGCAGCTCGGTAAGTATTAGCTAATTTCTGCTATGTACTTTATATCTTTGAGAACATCTAAAATGCTAACATTTTTCATTTATTTATTTATATATATATATTTTAATTTTGTGGTATTTTGCAGTCATCAGAGGATGATGGGATGGGAGGGAGAAGGAAGAAGGGTTTGAAAGATAAGATTAAGGAGAAGTTGCCTGGCGGTCAAAAGGACGAGCAGACTTACGGTACTCAAACCACTACTCAGGGTGGAGGCGGCTACGGATATGGTGAAGGGCAACAGCATGAGAAGAAGGGAATGATGGAAAAGATCAAGGAGAAGCTGCCTGGTGGCCGCTAGAGGGTATAATTGTGTGCGCACGCGCGCCGAGTAACGTTTCATGCTATGTTTAATTTAGTTTCTGTAATAAAACATGCCTTAATTTTACGAATGGGTATGTTCATGTGTGTCTGTGTCTATATGTAAATTGTAACGTAATCTTAATCTACTGTTATGAGCAGTAGACAGTTTGTGGTCTGTTGAATACTAAACGTGAGGCTTGTTTTTGATGCTTTTCCTTCCTTTTAGCCTAAATTTCCATCAGAGGTGGGATCAGCCACTTTGGGTTAGGGGTCACAATTAAATTTTTAAATGTTTTAACGGCAGACAAATCGTAAATGGTAATGACGGTCGATAGATTTGGAGCGGAGGAACAAAGTTGGGAGCTATACTATAATTGTAGTGTATGTTTTAAAATTTTAAAATAATAAAAAAAATAAACAATAAAAATAAAAATAGAGCCCCCCCAAAAAAAAAAAAAAAAAAAATTGTAGAAATTGGGGGTCAATTAACCATAGAGGACCTCTCCCAAGATCGCCTCCTCTGCATTATATTTTATTTTCAATCATGGTACGTGAGTGGCCAGTTTTAATGTAATACACTTTTGCCCATTAATTTTGGATTGAGCTAAACATAGCCCGGACGGATGATCACATAGTTGACATAATTGTGTGAAGTGTCAAAAGGGCGGGTCGTTTGGTTTTTTTCATTCATTTTTAAATTTTGAAGTGAGGTCAAACTTCATGTATGACGTGGAGTGGTGTATAAAAGAGCATTATTATTTTATTTTTGGGTCTTTTGAAATGATCTTAGCGGGTTTAATATTTGTTTCATTTTTTTTATTTTTTCAGTCATTGTCTTTGATTTCTCCGCAAATCTAATTTACTTAATGGTTGAACAGGGCTAAAAATAGGGGAAGGATTGAGTTGTTAGGATTTTTTTTATTTTATAAATTGTTCGGAGCTTTGAAACGTGTCCCTTTTGAACTTCGTTTTGACCCTATTTTTGTAGCCATTTGTCTTCCTTCATTTCAGTCGATCCAATATTCATTGCATTGGAATAATCACGTGTTCAAACAATTTGATAATTAGTTGTGAAAAATAAATTTTATTTATTTGTCATAAGAAATTGATTAGCAGTGAACGAATAAATAGAAGTTTGTAATAACAAATTGTTTGGTAGTTGTGAACATAATAAATCGGAGTTCTAATTGTTACGACAAATTGATAATTAGTGAAGAAATAAATCGGAGTTTGATGGTTTGATGGCATGAATATGGTTACAAATGGCTGCGTACTGAAAAGATGACAAAATGGCAAATATGAGAAGACGAAAGGGGTAAATTGGTCTTATGTCGCTAAATCATTAAAAAATAGATGTGAGTTTAAAAATCATTTTTACGAGCTGGGGTTCAGTTTTAGTTAATTCATAGATAATTACTTGACCTAGCTATTGGGAAATGTGTGAAATCAAATGATTGGAAGTAACGGGACTTCGAATCCCTTTATAATCATTCGTTTTAATATTTCAAAGGCTAATCACTTCTGATTCTAAAATCAATTATCCTAATTTATTTAGTCCCTGTTTGGTAATTATTTAAATTTAATTTAATTTAAGTCAAAGACAAATAATTAAAATACTAATCATATATTGCACGGTTCTGTTAATATTTAATTTCAATCATGCTAAGAATCAATAATCACAAAATAATAAATTAATAAATCGAATTCATACATGCGGAAGTCATTGTTGATATGAATTATAGTTGTAATAATAGTCAAGATCTTCCCCTCCTTGCTCCTCACAAAAGTATTAGCTATCAATGGGGCAAGCTAATGAAACATATATGGAGAGGAGAGGGGACCTAACCTTTATATATAGGAAATAATTTGAGCCGTCCCATTACGACTAGAATTCTAATTAGGGTTTATTTTCGGCCCACATACTTTAAATTACCACATAAAATTAATTACAACCCGTAAGGTGTAAAAGGCCCAATTGATCACTTAATAAATTTGGCCCAAACACAAATATCATTATAAGCCATATATCTAACCCGTAAAATTTTGCAATCGAATGTGAAGCCCACATATGGAATTATTAATTATTCCAACATTCTCCCACTTGGACAAACATTTGATTGCCATAACAAAGTTTTAACACCCGGGTTAGACTACATAGGTGGCCACAAAAGTATAGCTCTAATAATGACAACTTACGTAACATGATCCGGTCCAACAAGAATATTAACACCAAACATGGAAGTCATTACACCAATTTAAGAGATGTAAGACCATTCCACAGCTACAAATGTCAACATCCTTATTGACATGGATCCCCATCCTCCAACCAATGTGGTAGTATGTGGTATGAACTTAGCACCAAATGTGATCAAAAACTGTGATCTCTTATCGGTCCTCATAATGCTTCGAATCAAAATGAAGCCACATGTCTCTAAAAGAGACTCACCTTATGTCTTTATACGTCATATTTCAAGATGCAAATAATATAAAAAGATATAAGTCAAATGCATGCTTAAAAAATAGTTTATGGATGGGGAAAAATTATTTTATTATCAGAAGGGGCTGTACTCGAAAACATATGGGTTGCCTATATACCCCGTAAAGGGATCAAACCCAAAACGTAATTCTTTACATAAATAACTCCCACTAACCAAAAATATCAAATGTTTCCACAATACCCATATTAGTAACATGTGTTTTAAAGACTTTTGGAGCAAGTCCCTTAGTCAAGGGATCTGCAACCATCGCCTCTGTACTAATATGCTCTATTTTCGTCTGCCCTTATTTGACTCTATCTCTAACAACCAAATATTTGATGTTAATATGTTTTGATCCACCAGAACTTTTATTATTTTTTGAAAAGAATACTACTGCACTGTTATCACAGTAGATGGTGATCGGTCTTGCGATGGAATCAACAATTTTCAAGCCAGAGATGAAATTTCTTAACTAAACGGCTTGGACTGTAGCCCCATAACATGCCACAAATTCAGCTTGTATAGTAGAAGATGCCACTAGAGTCTATTTAGCACTTTTCCAAGAAATGGCACCACCAGCTAATGTAAAAATGTAACTTGAGGTCGATTTCAAATCATCTTGACATCCAGCAAAATCAGAATCTGAATATCCTACCACCTCAAGATGATTTGTACGCTTGAATGTAAGCATATAACTTTCAGTTTTCTTCAAATATCTCATAACTTTCTTAGCTGCTTTCCAATGCTCTTGTCCTGGATTAAACTGAAATCTGCTAAGGACACTTATTGCGTAGGCTATATCCGGTCTAGTGCAAACTTGAGCATACATCAAGCTTCCCACAGCACTAGCATATGGGATCATTTTCATAGACTCCCTTTCCAGCTCATTCCTTGGACATTGAGTTTTATTAAACTTATCTCCTTTTATGATAGGTACATCACCAGGTGCACAATTCTACATATTAAACATTTCTAGAACACGACGTATATAAGCTTTCTGAGAAAGTCTCAATAAACCACGATTTCTATCACGATGTATTTCAATGCCAAGTACATAGGAAGCTTCTCCAAGATATTTCATCTCAAAATTAGCAGACAACATTTTCTTTGTCTCATGAAACAGCCCTAAGTTACTGCTAGCAAATAGAATGTCATCAACATACAATACAAGGAAAATAAAATTTCTCCCACTGGTTTTAAGATAAATGCATTGATCAATAATATTTTCGACAAAACCAAGAGATGTCACAACCTCATCAAATTTCAAATACCACTGTCGAGATGTTTGCTAAAATCCATATAATGATTTGTTTAACTTACATACCAAGTTCTCTTTTCCTTTCACAACAAAGCCTTCAGGCTGTTTCATATAAACCATTTCAAAAAGATCTCCATTCAAAAATGTTGTCTTAACATCCATTTGATGAAGCTCCAAATTATAGTGTGCCACAAGAGCCATGATAATTCGAAAAGAATCTTTCGATGAAACAGGGGAAAAGGTTTCAACATAATCAATGCCCTCTCGTTGAGTGAAACCTTTTGCAACAATCTTGCTTTCTTTCATTCAATATTTTCTTTTGAATCTAATTTACTTTTGAAAATCCACTTGTTATCTACAGCCTTAGCATCTGGAGGAAGTTCAACAAGATCCCAAACTTTATTCCTTTCCATGGAATTCATTTCATCTTCCATGGCAGCTATCCATTTATCTGCCTCAGAACTTGTCAATGCTTGATTATAAGTTACAAGATCAACAATATACCCGATATTAAAATCGCTCTCCAATAAATATGTAACATAATCGCTGGGCAATGCAGATCTTCTTTCCCTTTGTGATCTCCTAACTTGTGGCTTAGGAACCGATTCAATCGTTGTTTGAGGAATTAGAGATTCCCTCTTGGTTCCTCGGTTCTTCATCAACAACTTCAATTGGTTGTGAACCAACTCTTTCCTGTATGACGGAAACTGGAACAACAACTTGATTAGGTTCAACAAGAATTTCTCTCAACGTGAAACTCCCACTATCTCCAAAATCGTTCTCCAGAAACTTAGCAGTAATGGACTCCACAATTCTAGTGCCGCGATTTGGACAGTAAAATTTATATCCTTTTGATCTATCTGGATACCCAATAAAGTATCCAGGAGTTGATTTAGGGTCTAATTTCTTTTCAAATGGATTATAAATCCTAACCTCAGCTGGACATCCCCAAACTTTAAAGCGAGCCATACTTGGCTTACGTCCTGTCCATAATTCAAAAGGTATCTTTGCAACAGCTTTACTTGGAACTCTGTTCAAAATATACATAGCTGTTTTCAAGGCTTCACCCCACAAATATTCAGGCAAATTTGTTCTATTTATCATACTTCTAACCATATCTTTTAAAGTTCGATTACATCTTTCAGAAACACCATTCTGCTCAGGTGTCCCTGGCATGGTGTATTGGGGCACTATTCCACATTCTTGTAAAAAATTTGCAAAATCACCCATATTTTGACCAGACTTGTCATATTTCTCATAGTACTCACCATCTCGGTCAGATCTTACAATTTTGATATTTTTCCCACATTGTTTATCTACTTCCAGTTTGAAAACTTTGAATTTCTCAAGTGCATGTGATTTGTCGTTAATCAAATAAACATATCCATATCGTGAGAAATCATCAATGGAAGTTATGAAATATTTATTCCCACATATAGTAGAAAGCAAAGGTCCACTGATATCAGTGTGAATTAA